CCAGGAGGAGCAGACACCAGGAAATAATCAAATTGAGGGCTGAAATCAATCAAGTAGAAACCAGAAAAACACTGAGAAGAATCAATGAAACAAAGAGTTGGTTCTTTGAGAAAATCAACAAAATAGATAAACCTCTGTCCAAACTAACCAAAAGACAGAGGGAGAGCATGCTAATTAACAAAATCAGGGATGAAAAAGGGGACATAACAACAGACTCTGAGGAAATCCAGAGAATCATCAGGGCATACTTTGAAAATCTGTACTCCACAAAATTTGAAAATTTAAAGGAAATGGACAATTTCCTGGATAGATATCACTTGCCAAAACTAAATCAAGAACAGATAAACAATCTAAACAGACCTATAACCCCTAATGAAATAGAAGCAGTCATCAAAAGTCTCCCAAACAAAAAAAGCCCAGGCCCAGATGGCTTCAGTGCAGAATTCTACCAGAAATTCAAAGAAGAGCTAATTCCAATACTCCTCAAAGTATTCCACACAATAGAAGCAGGAGGCTCACTGCCAAACTGTTTCTACGAGGCTACAATTACCTTGATACCCAAGCCACACAAAGACACAACTAAGAAAGAGAACTATAGACCAATTTCCCTCATGAACATTGATGCAAAAATACTCAATAAAATACTCGCAAACCGGATTCAAGAACACATCAGAAAAATCATCCACCATGATCAAGTAGGCTTCATCCCAGGAATGCAGGGATGGTTCAACATTAGAAAATCTATCAATGTAATCCACCATATTAACAATCTGCGAAAGAAAAACCACATGATCATCTCACTAGATGCTGAAAAAGCCTTTGACAAAATCCAGCACCCCTTCATGATAAAGGTCCTAGAGAGATCAGGGATAACAGGAATGTACCTGAATATAATAAAAGCAATATACAGTAAACCAACAGCTAACATCAAACTAAATGGAGAGAAACTCAAAGCAATTCCTCTAAAATCAGGAACAAGACAAGGCTGTCCACTCTCTCCATATCTCTTCAATATTGTACTTGAAGTTCTAGCTACAGCAATAAGACAACAAAAGGAGATAAAGGGGATACAAATAGGAAAAGAAGAAGTCAAACTTTCACTATTTGCAGATGATATGATAGTTTACATAAGTGACCCAAAAAACTCTGCAAGGTTACTCCTAGAGTTGATAAACACCTTCAGCAATGTGGCAGGATACAAGGTAAACTCAAAAAATCAGTGGCCCTATTATATACAGATGATGAAGTGACTGAGAAAGAAATCAGAGAAACATCACCCTTTACAATAGCCAAAAACAGCATCAAATATCTGGGGATAATGTTAACCAAGGAAGTTAAAGACCTGTATATCAAGAACTTTGTGTCTTTAAAGAAAGAAATCAAAGAAGATACCAGAAAATGGAAAGATCTCCCATGATCTTGGATTGGTAGGGTCAACATAATGAAAATGGTAATCTTGCCAAAAGCAGTCTATAGATTCAATTCAGTCCCTATCAAAATTCCATCACAATTCTTCAAGGACCTGGAAAGAACATTAATCAACTTTATATGGAAAACCAAAAGGCCCATGATAGCCAAAACATCCCTATACAATAAAGGAACTTCAGGAGGTATCACCATACCTGACTTCAAGCTCTATTATAGAGCTATAGTCCTGAAAATAGCTTCGTATTGGCACAAAAATAGGCAGGTAGACCAATGGAACCGAATCGAAAGCCCTAATTCTAACCCACACACCTATGAACACTTGATTTTTGACAAAGAAGCTAAAACTGTACAATGGAAAAAAGAAAGCATCTTCAACAAATGGTGCTGGCATAACTGGGTACTCGTATGCAGAGGACTGCAGATAGATCCATGTTTATCGCCTTGTACAAAACTTAAGTCCAAATGGATCAAAGATCTCAACATAAATAAAGCCACACTGAAACTTTTAGAAGAGAAAGTGGGAGATACTCTTCAACAAGTTGGTACAGGAGACCACTTCCTAAACATAACACCAGTGGCACAGGCACTGAGATCGACAATTAACAAATGGGACCTTCTGAAACTAAAAAGCTTCTGTAAGGCAAAGGACACAGTCAAAAAGACAAAAAGGCACGCCACAGAATGGGAAAAGATATTCACTAACCCTACATCTGGCAGAGGGCTAATCTCCAAAATTTACAAAGAACTCAAGAAACAAGTCTCCAAAACACCAAAGGATCCAATTAAAAGGTGGGGTACAGAGCTAAATAGAGAATTCTCAGTAGAGGAGGCTAAAATGGCCAAGAGACACTTAAGAAAGTGCTCAACATTCTTAGCCATCAGGGAAATGCAAATCAAAACAACTCTGAGATACCATCTAACTCCTGTCAGAATGGATAAAATCCAAAACTCCGAAGACGATTTATGCTGGAGAGGATGTGGAGAGAGAGGAACACTCCTCCACTGCTGGTGGGAGTGCCGACTCATACAGCCTCTTTGGAAATCAGTATGGAGATTCCTCAGGAAAATGGGAATTAATCTACCACTAAACCCAGCAATTCCACTCTTAATCCAAATGAGGCAAGTTCATACAACAAGGGCATCTGCTCCACTATGTTCATAGCAGCATTATTTGTAATAGCCAGAACCTGGAAGCAACCTAGATGCCCCTCAACTGAAGAGTGGATAGAGAAAATGTGGTACATTTACACAATGAAGTATTACTCAGCAGAAAAAACAATGGAATCTTGAAATTCGCAGGTAAATGGATAGCACTGGAAGAAACCATCCTGAGTGAGGTAACCCAGTCGCAAAAAGACAAACATGGTATGTACTCACTCATATATGGATTTTAGACATGGATCATAATAGTGCCAGTCTGCACTTCCACTGATAGAGAGTCTGGGAAACAGGAAAGAACCTAAAAGATATGTATATATGCATAGTACCCAAGAGAAGAGGATTGAGACAAGATCCTCTGAATGGATGGGGAACACGGCGATGGGTGGGGGGAGTGGGACCTGGGAAGAAGAGAGTGGATGAAGAGGAAGAGAGTTGGTCATGAGGGAACAGGAAATTGAGGGGGTGGGGGTAGAATAGGGGGAAGAGGGAATCATAGGATCGAATACAGATCAGGCACCAGAGTGACCTCGAGTGATCTAAAGGGATAACACCAATTGGCAAGCTAAGCAATAGTGGAGAGACCACCTCGAATGCCCATTCCTGATAATGAACTTGATGTCTATAACCATCCGGGAGCCTTCATCCTGTCACTGATGGAAGCAGAGGCAAACACACAATTAATCACTGAACTGAACCCAAGGAACCCAGTGACAGAGAGAGAGGAGTGATGAGCAAATTGGCAAAGAATGGGCTGGCAAAACCAGCAGAGAGAGCTGATCTGAACAGGGGAGAGCTCTTGGATCCCAGACTGACAGTGGGGAGGCCAGCATGGGACTGATCTGGACCCCCCCAAATGTGAGTGTCAGCGAGAAGGCCTGGGCAACATATGGGGCCCTGAGCTGTGGATCAGTGTCTATCCCTGGTATACAAACAGTCTTCATGTGCCTATAGCACAAAGAGGGATGCTCTCTCAGCCTGGACTCTTAGGGGAGTGCCTTGACCCTACCCAGAGTAAAATGACAGACTCTAGATATCCCCTATGTGGAAGGATTTGGCAATAGGGTGGGAGGGTGGGGGGGGGGAGGAAGGGGAGTGCGGGAGGAGGGGAGGGAGAGGGAACTGGGATTGTTGTGTAAAACAAGCTATTTAAAATTAAAATAAAAAAATGATAAAAAAGAATGCACATCATCTCAGGGTAAAGACTTAGGAAAATGTATGCCAGGAAAATGAACCTAAGAAGCAAGTTGTTGCAGCCCCTTTACTATCAAACCTAAAGTTATCAGAAAAGATGGGGGAAGGAAACTACATCGTCATTGAAGGAACTATCCATCAAGAGGACATTTCAATTCTTTTTTTAAATGAAATATTATTGAAATTAAAAACAATCTTATTTTACATATAAATTCCAGTTCCTTCACCCTCCCGTTCTCCCATGCATCCACCAACCCCTATCCCATCCCCATTCACTCCCCAGGGAGAGTGAGGCCTCTCACAAGGGATCATCAGAGTCTGTCATGTCATTTGGGGCAGGTCTTAGGCCCACCCATGTGTATCTAGGCTGAGAGAGTATTCCCTCCATAGGGAATGGGCTCCCTGATGGGGGAAGTCCTTCCGTGTATATGTAAATAAAGCACTGTTGATCAATAGGGAAGCAAGATAGGTGGGACTAGGAGTCGAGGAGGATTCTGGGAAAGAGAGGCACAGTGAGCCACCATGTACGACGCGGGAGAATTAAGAGATCCTGGAACCTTTCACCAGTAAGAGACATGGGAATACTTTTATTAGCAATTATGGGTTAAATATTAACTCAGAGATAGCCGATAAGAAATCACAGCAAACGGCCAACAGCTTCATAATTAATATAGCGTTACAGCTCCCAAAGCCCATTCATGCACTAGGGATAAACACTGGTTCCACTGCCAGGGGCCCCATAGACTGCCCAGGCCTCCCAACTGACACCCATGTTCAGGGGGCCTGGTTCGGTCCAATGCTGGTTTCCCAGCTGTCAGGCTGTGGTCCATGAGCTCCCACTCTCTCAGGTCAGCTGTGTCTGTGGGTCCAAATCCATAGCACAAACAGATTCCACTAGAATCTGAAAACAAGGTTTACCATTGCCATTTGGAGAATTGAGTGGTACCATGCAGGATGATGTAGATGCTGCTATCAGATCAACACAGACACAGTGCTACCCCTGGAACTGCTGGTGACAAGTGCGAGGACAGTAAGGGCCTCAATCCCAGGCTCTGCTCTCAGGTGTATTCCCCTCCCCCAGCCTATCCCTGGGGAATATTTTGGCTGTGAGAGCCCATGTAAGAGTTTTATTTTCCTTTCCTAGGAATAAACCCGTCTGTCAGCCCTGCCCAGACCTGTGGTAGCCTCAGTAGTAAACATGGCTCTCTGATGTGTCTCAGCAGAGAGATATGACAAGTTCATCCTCACCAAAGAAGATCAGACATCCTCCAGCTACCTGGATTTACAGTATATACCTTGTAGCAGACGGTACCAAGCCCTAGTCCCTACATCTCACATGACCCCAGACCACAGAGGAATGTTCCAATGTTATGGTTACTAAATATATGGTTACCCACAGGTGTGGTCAGTACCCAGGGATGCCCTGAATACAAATCTCGGGTAAGTAAAGCCCATCACTGGTCTAATTTTTGAGACTATATGCCCTATGCCACAGTCATGGCCTCCTGGGATGTTGCATTTATACAATGACTAAAAATAGAGCCTAGAGATTGAGTTAGAGCACCACAGCTGGAGAGAAACAGTGACATGTGCGGGACAGGATCAGAAGGGATGTTTGGTAAAAATCAGTATCTCAGTCCTTAGCATGTCACATACCCTTTAGTGCTTTCCAGAAAGCCCTCCTGCTGATACACAAAGCATCCATTCATCCATCCATCCATCCATCCATCTATCTCTTGGACCCAGGAAAGAGCCTCACCCTGGAGTGCTGCTCTAACATCAACTATGACAAATTCCTCTCTACTGAGGTGGGGTGGGCAACCTCACCCAACACTATGGCTAGCAGATCCTGACTGGTCTTTTCTTGGCCAACTTAACCTTGGGTTCTGTGAAGCACTCTACTAGAGGCCAATACAGATTATTTGGTGCACACAACCTCTCCTGTGAGTGGACATCGTGATCACAGGTGAGAAACCAAATGTATTCAATCAGGTAACTATCCTCTTCCCATTCCCAAATGTGGGAGCCCAAGAAATTGATGGCTGGGATGAGGGATGGGGATCTTAGCTCATAATAGCTGCCAAAGTGGGGGATCAGGAGAAGAGGTCAGTCAGAGGAAATAGAGTCCCAGGTGCCCATAGTAGACCCAGGTAAGGTGTTGGCTTAGACGAACGAAGGAAGCTCATTGCTCATCCATTTTCTCTTTAGAATATCACCCTGTCACCCCTTCAGTATCATGGCAATATGGCTCCATAGTACACTTGGGAGAGAATGTGATCCTGCTGTGTCTATCAATGAAGCCAGTGGATATTTTCATTCTGTACAAAGAGGGAACAGCCCATACAACCCACTGCCTAAAATCAATGTTTTGAACTCATCAGCTCTGGCCAGAGTTCTCTAGGAGTTCTGTGCCCTCTGCCCTTGGGGGGCACCTACAGGGGATATGGCTTTGAAGACCCATTCCTTTATCTCTTGTCAAATGCCAGTGTCCCTGTTGAGGCTATAGTCTCAGGTAAGGTGATCTCAATCTCTCAGGATGATTCTGGAAGAACTGTTGATTGTGTTGGGATTAAGGGGACAACGTGAAGTGTTAGTTAGAAGACAAAAGTGTGTGACAGTTGGGGTCCCTCAAACCATGTCTACTCTATCCTCTCTTGAAATCTAGAATTGGAGTGGACAACATAAAGATCTTTGGGAAAGGACAATGAAGATGGAGGGCAGTGAGCAGAGTCAGGGTCCCTGGGTTAGCATCTAACCTGTAGGAGACTTTGCTTAAAGAAAGAATTGGAGGAACCATGCTTGTCAATTAGGCAGGGATATATTCTTCAGTGAGATGAAATGAATGATGCCTAGTCACCTGGAAGGTTGGAGGGAATGTTGCGTGACATTTCAGTGATCTTTCTTGCTATTATACGGAGCCAGACATCCTGAATTCCCCTAAATACTGGGCATTGTTTAGGCCCTAATCCTGAGCTTTGTCTCTCAGTGAATATAACCCATGCTTATGAAAAAGATCCCAGTCGCTTTCCATCCTCCCCAATAGAATCTATGCTTGTCCCTATCACAAATCTTTCCTCCTTAGATCCTTGCCTTGAGCTCCGTCTGCCAATAAAACTCATTCTTAATTAAAGATCACAGGGTCTTTGCTACATTTCTAGGGATTTTCTATGTAGCTTTGCATAAAGCTGTGTTGTAATAATTGACACATGTAAGCCTTTTTACAAAGGTATACTGGGGTTAAAAGAAGAATAAACCATGAAATCAGACTCTGAAAGTTTTGACACAATGCCAGCTTTATTCTTCACCTTGGATCGTCACCCTGCAGGCCACAAAGCTTGAAGGGTCCACAGCATTACCCCTCATCCTTCTCATTTCCTGTTTTCCAGGATCCTTAGGAGCCTCTAACCCACCCCCAATGCCCATGAAAACAGCTGGCAAGTATCCGTCACCTCTCTGTGGGGTTTATGCTCTACTCCAGACTGCCTGGATGCTCTTAGGTCACCTAATGCCTCATTTCTCTATTAGTTCATCTTCTTTGTGTGGGAGGAGAGTACATATTCCAACAGAGAACCCAGAAGCCCATGGTCTAGGAACTGACCTATAGAAGGGGACATTCAGAGAGAAATGTTTGGGTTTAGTCTGGAAGATGAGGCAGGTGGGGGAGGAGGGGAGCAAGAACATAGACCCTCACCTCCATGCCTTGCCCCTGAGGCTTTTAGAACAGACCTCTTACCTGTGTTGAGTCTGGTCCAAGAGGGTCAATAAAAACTTTGTTGGAATGCGGGGCCCAAATGGGCAATAAATACTTATGGGCTTGAAGCAGCTGCTTTAGGAGATTCTGACCTAGACAAGCCTTTCTTTTTCTCCACTGGCTGCTGTTTCTCTGAGTAGAAAGGTGAGAAGCTGGCTCAGATGTCTAAGTTTTTTTTTCTGTCATGGCCTTGGTTGTGGGCTTTCCTGATAGAGAAGGCCACCAGAACCTGATTCTGCAGTGGGTGTGTCCCACCGTGGCAGTGTAAGTTGGGCAAAAGGCCATGGCAGGGCATTTTGGCTTCTTCCCCTCCCTCCTCCCACAGAATGGGGTTGGAAGTCAGAGTTCTCATTTTAACTCCCAGCTCTTCCACTTCCAGTCAGGTGACCTGAGGCAGGTGAACTCTGTCGGTACTAGGTACTATTATGGCCACATCACTGGGACCCCCTCAAAGACCACCATGGGGACTGAATCCATGTGCAAAAGCAAAGAGACTTTATTCAACCTCAAACGTGGACTCTCCATCTGTCATAAGGTTTTTGTCATAATACAGGTTGGGAGTGAAGGGATTTTCAGGATTCAAGACCCTGGTTGGCTGACATTTGTCTAGGGGTATCTTGGTGAAAAGGGATGGGTGTGTAGGTTTAGGGAATCAGGTAATTATACCTATAATGATTGGAATGTTAGGAATTTCTTTTGGAATGTTAGGTACTTTCCTCTTGGATGGTCTGTTCCTGGGTGGTACCAGGGTGGTCTCAGTTCGTGGTCTTTTCTGGAACCGGGTATAGTCTTCTGTTGATCTTGTCATGGCTGGGCCCTACAGATACAAAGAGAAAATTCCATGTTGCATGATTGTGGGAATAAGAACTGGTGAGTTCAAAGATCCAGCATGGGCCTGGAACATAGTTGGTGCTCAGGTAAGCAGCATCAGTCCCCACTTAAATCACATGTGCCCGAGGACTGGAAACATACCCGAAGACTCTGATCAGAGCCTTTTTTGGCCTTCCTCCCACTCTTCTTCATCCTTATCTTCCTCCATCTCCAACAAAGACATCAAGGCAAATTCAGAAAGAATGGTGAGTAAGGTGTAGATGACCTGGGTCTCAGGAGGTGGTAGGTTCCTCTCTTAACATCCGAGTAGGGTTTGCGGACTCTGGTACTGGGGAAACTAGAAACTGGGGCAGGGCAGCTCAGGAACACTTGTAGATCTCAGATCAGAACACATGTGTTCTTAGAACCTGTGCATGTCACATGTTCCGTGAGCTTTACCCTTTCCTGAGACATTTGCTTACTCACTCATGTGTTAGGAAGATACATTCCTTCCTTCCCTGCACATGGCTAGGGGAAGGACTTCCCACCCTCCTAGCTGAGACTCTCCTCCCTTTTGTGTACTCCATGCTTGCCTGGTACCCTCAGAGGACAGATGATGGTGTCAGATATCCTGGAACTGGAGTTACAGATGATTGTAGTCTGCCATGCAGGTTCTGGGAACTAAACCTGGGTCCTCTGTAACAGCAGCCATTCTCTTAACCACAGAGCTGTCTCTCCAGCTCCCGGATACGTGTTTTCAGAAACATAGACCATCTGGTTGGAGACAAGACAGCAAAGGGTAGAGTGTCAGGGTAACAGGTCAGAAGGAAGCCTTGAAAGATCCCATCAGGGATTAAATACTCTAAATGCATCACCGCCATGCTGTGTAAAACTGGCTGGAGGAAATCCTCAGGGGAACACTGAGACACTGTTTGTACCTCACTACTTCCCTGCTATAGACACCACCTGTTGAAGATACCCAGGGAGTGCTATGTGACAGGCTGGGACCCTCCAGGCTCAGGCACTCAGGAGCTTTCTTACCTTCTGTCACTTCAAGAGAATTCCTGGAAACGAAAGTTGTGCAAGTAGGAAGAGTGCAGAGAGATGGACAGTCAGGTGGTCTTCATGCTTCTCCAAGCCAAGCATTCACCTTCCTCTCATTCTCTCCCACTCCAGGCTGCAAAATTTGAAGAGACCCAGGTTGTGACCTATGCCCCGATGTGCAGTAGGTCACTCAGACAAGGCACAGCTGCCCCTCCTCCTTCCCAGGCAGGGGAGGTCCCAGAGAAGCCCAGCGCATATGCTACTCTGGCAGCTGGTCATCCAGGAGCTGCTCCCAGGGACGAGGAGAAATGATCCTCTGTCTGCCACAATGCCTGACAGAGACCTCCAAGGGATTCTGGGAACTTTTGGGAACCTGACTGCACTTTAACATCATACATTTTGGCAATAAAGCAGGGAATTTCTCTGTAATCATGTGAAATGAGGAGTAGAGCGATTGACTGATAATTTCAATGACATTAGTCTTCAAAGCCATGAAATGAAAAAATTTACAGGCATGGTTACAGAGACCCATAATCCCAATCCATAGGAGGCTGGGACATGAAAATTATTTTTGTTTTGCCACCAGTCTTGGATAGCTAGTGAGTTTCATGCCAGCCTGGGCTACAGAAGGAGATGTGTTTCAAAGGCCAGATTTGGTGGTACATACCCCAAATCCTAGTACTTGAGGGTTGTAGACATGTAGGGTAAGCATGTCAAGGCCATCCTCAGCTATACAGCATAGAAGTAAGAGGCCAGCCTGGAACACACTAGGTTGTCAGCAAGGACAGTACAATTTCTTAATCACAGAGTCATTTTTTCAGACTCCCTACAATAATTTGAAAAGCAGAACAGCATAGCACTATGAGCATTTATGCCAACATATTAGGAGCTGTATGTAAAATCCCTTGTTGCTACTAAAAGTTATTTATATTGCTTAATAAACTCAAATCTGAGCATCTTCTGACACACTGCACACAATGTCAGTACAAATGTCCCCCTTTGAAAATTTCGAGTGCATCCCTGGTGAATTTTTCCAAATGTTTGTATATATGAAATAAAGACTCTGTGGCACTAGGTAAAGAATTCGAGACAGTTTTTCAAAAGAGAAAATATTTGTGAACAAGTGTGATGAGGAAACACGTAATATTAAGAAGAAAGCCTAATCACATCATCCTAGATGTGGTCCCTTAAAATTAATTAAAAAATTCACAAACAAGGCAAAATCATATGCTTTCTATAGGATACCACCGCCGTACTGGTGGGTTTGTTCTGTTTTCATTTTTAATTTTGGTTTCAAAGACAGTGACTACTTAAGATTTAAAAAGTTGCAGAACTTGCTTACACATTCCAGTTGCCCCAGCTACTTTGGAGGTTGAAGCAGGAGAGCAGGCAATGCTAAATTCACCTTAGCTACTGAGTGAATTCAAGGCCATCGTGGACAATTTAGTGAGATCCTGTCCCAAAATAAAAGTTAAAAGAAGGGTGGTGTTTAAGTCCAGTTGTAAAACACTAACCTGGCATTCAGAACTGTAAGTTCCATCCTTGGTAGGTTTCTTCCTGGTTCTTCTGTTTGTTCTCCTTTCTTTTTTTCTGTTGTTCATTTCATAGTTGTATGCACATCAAACATTTTTGTAGCCTAAACTGGAATCAAACTTGCTATTTAACTGCTTCTGAACTCGAAATTCTGATCATTCTGCACCACCCTCTAAATAGCTAGCTTACAAGCTTGCACCACAGTGCTCATCTCTAAGCACTTTTGTAGACTATCTGTTGTTCTGCATACCTATTTTTTGCATCAACAACAATACTGGTTTTCTTGCTGTGGATCTAGAGTGTAATTTGAAGCTGGGTATGCTGATACCACCAAGATTGCCATTTCAGATTAGTTTCCTTATTGGGAATACTGTTCATTTTTCATATAAATTTTGGGATTTAAAATTTATTCACTTCTTTTCAATCTCATTGTGTAGCCCTGGCTGACCTGGAACTTCATATACCATACAGTCCTGAAAGTCATTGGTCTTCAGAATGTTGGAATAGCAGGCATTTGTCACCATAATCAGTTTAGGATCATCTATTTCTGTGAAGAATGTCATTGAGATTTGCATGGAAATCATGTTGAATGCTTACATTGCTTTGGTTCCTGTAGATATTTTCATATTGCTGTTTCATGAACACTTCTATCTTGAAGAATCTTCAGTTTCACAAGTTGTGCTCATGGGCATATGCACACATGTACATGTGGAGTCACAGGTCAGTACTGGATTTCTTCATAAGTGGTTGTCAATCATTTTGAAGGATGGCAACAGGCAGGTAGGGAAATGAGATTCAAGATAGCTCACTGGAAGTAGAGCTAATGAATTTGGCTAGCTTAGGGGGCCAGTGAGTTCCAATGAACTTCTTGTCCTACTGATCTGGGACGATCTTGTTTTCTTTGTGTCTCCCATCTCCTATTGCTCTTACAAACTTTTTGCCTCTTTTACAGGGTTTCTTGAGCCCTGAGTGGTGAGACTTAATGGAGGCATTCCATATAGGAATGAGTTTTCCAAGGCCTCTCACACTTTGCACATTGTCTGGTTGCAGTTCTATGCATTTATTTCCATATACTGGAGGAGGAAGTATCTCTGTTGATGACTGAATACGACAATGATCTATGAGTATACCACAATGGTGCTAGGAGTCATTTTATCTAACTTCCTTCAGCAGAACAACAGTATTTGTTTGTCCTCTACAACCTGGCCTATCTACTTTCATATTCTATGCTACCAGAGCAGTGTTAAGGATGGGTTCCATCTCATGGAATAGGCTTTAAATTCAACCAGATATTGGTCAG